ATATATTATATGTTAAAATAATATTATAATACATAATAATATATAATTTTATATAATAATTAAATAACATAATACATAGTATATTATAATTATATCATATATTTATTATTATATATGATGTATTATATATTTATTATTATATATTATAATATATAAAATATATATTTAAAATATAACATAATTATAATGATAATATAATTATAATTAATCATAATATAATTAAGGTATATTATAATATATTATGATGATTTCATAATTGCCATAATATATAACCTCTTATTAATATAACCATACAGAAAAAGTGTTATTTCAAATGACCTTAAAACATACACTTGAACAGTTCAACCATAGTGGGATATATCATAAAGATAAAAGAACAGCAGAGAAATCTTAAACCTTGTGTCATCTTTTTTTTTTTCAGTAATAGTGGTATATTGTCTTTTGAAATTATTTTGTGTACTTTGTTAGATAAAGTAAATATTTAGTTATGTTGTTAGAAACTAAGATTTCCAGCCTAAGAGAAAAAAAAATCAAGTTTGAAATAAAGAAAATCCTGAAACATTAGGTTTGAGTTGGAGATTTCAGTATAAAGTCCAATTGTCCTCGAGACCGAGGAGATTTAGCAGCAATAACAAGCCAGTGGCAGTAAGCATCCTGAGAGCCCACATCCGGTCTTTGCAGGTCTGGAGCAGGAAATACAGTGGGCCCTCAGAACCCAAGGGCGCCACATCCAATCAAAGCTTGAAAATATTGGGGGAAAAGTCCAGAGAGTTCTAAAAAAGCAAAGCTTGAAGTTGCCAGGCACCTATTAATCTAGCATTTACAGTGTTTTAGGTTTTATAAATAATCTGGGCTTCCTTGGTGGCTCAGTGGGAAAGAATCTGCCTGCCAATGACACAGGTTTGATTCTTGGCTGGGGAAGATCCCCTGGTGAAGGAAATGGCAACCCACTCCAGTATTCTTGCCTGGAGAACCCCACGGACAGAGGAGCCTGGCAGGCTACAGTCCATGGGGTCACAAAAGGGTAGGACTCGACTTAGCGACTAAAACAACAACCAGAGATGATTTAAAGAATATAGGAGGGGGGACTTCCCTGGTGGTCCAGTGGGTAAGACTCCAGACTCCCAACGCAGGGTGTCCGGGTCTGATCCCTGGTCAGGGAACTAGATCCCACGTGCCACAACTAAGACCCACTGCAGCCATATATGTAGGTTCTATGCAAATACTACACCATATTACATAAGAGGCTTGAGCATTCCTGGTCAGGGAACTAGATCCCACGTGCCACAACTAAGACCCACTGCAGCCATATATATAGGTTCTATGCAAATACTACACCATATTACATAAGAGGCTTGAGCATTCCTGGATTTTGGTGTCCTCGGGGATTCTGGAACAAATCCCCTGAGAATACCAAGGGGCAACTGTACACAATACCATGGGACAGGCTATTGTGCCGGAAAACAAGAATGCTTTCTTTCAAAGACTAAAGGAAGTTTCGTCAAAAGGACATAGGGGTCATGCTGAAGAGAGTTCCACTGACTAACATTAAGATAACGTGAGTATCAAAAGGAACAATAGTTGCAAATGACTGAAGAATACTGAATATTTTTTTAAGTCCAAGATTTCATGATGAAATACCAAAAAGAGGAAGCAAAACAAAACTATCATATCAACTTGTTATCCTGAAATATGGCAATTAAAGGAGAGGGACAAAGATGTATCTACCTTTCCTTTAGGAACTGTATTTCAGAGTAATCAGCTAGCTCTTATTAATGAGGGAAAGTTCTTCCTTATAGGAAAATCCCAGCTGATAACTGTAGAAGGCATCATAGAACTTGGAAGTCACCATTTCATGAGAGTTGACAGAATTGATTCACGCAACAGACATCAACAAATACTCAAACCATTATGGAAAATACTGTTGCCGAACTGAATATTCACAAAGTGTCACCCCACAAATTAACCTGCTGGTCCTGCAAGGACGAAGGCAAAGCTGAAAAGAGTGGGATCAGGTGGTCACTTGCTCAGATGTCATTACGGTGTCTTATGAAGCACGCAGTCCTGCTTGTATAGGTTCTCACCAGAAATGCATGACCTACAGGACTTCCCTGGCGGTCCAGCGGTTAAGACTTCCCTTTTCAACACAGGGGGTGCAGGTTCAGTCCTTGGCGGGGCAGCTAAGGTCCCACATGCTTTGTGGTCAAAAAAACCAAAACATAAACAATATTGTAACAAATCCAAAAAAGGCTTCAAATATGGTCCACATTAAAAAAAAGAAAACATTAAAAAATGTGTGACCTAGACCTTACCAAGTCATTTTTTAAATTCTCGTTCATAGAAAGTAATGGAGACAAAGAAACAGCTTATGTGACTCCTTGAGGAAGCAATGAGACAATGAGATGGAATATTAATTAATCTGGCTTCTTCAGTAAATCATGGAGAATAAAGAGTAGTCTATTAACTTTCTATTGAAAGTGACATCATGATCACTGCAGTGTGTGGTTCTTGCTTGTGTTCCAGTTCAAACAAGATGAGGGTAAAGGTGTATTTTCAGGATAAATAGAGAAATTTAAGAGATAATTGTTCACCATGGTGTGTGTGAGAATAGTATTGTGATTATATAATAAAGTGTCCTTATACCAGAAAATGGTCTTTTTATTCCTCAGAAATGCATACTGAACTACTTCTGGGCAAAACTTTGTGATGTGTATAATTTTAAAAAATTATTTATCTGGCTGCTCCAGGTCTTTAGTTGCAGCATGAAAACTCTTAGTTGCAGCATGCTGGATACAGTTCCCTGACCAGGGATCTAACCCCAGCACCCTGCACTGGGGGCATAGAGTCTTAGCCACTGGACCTCCAAGGAAGTCCCATAATGCATGGGATATAATGTGATATAATTTTATATCACAACACTTCAGTGAAAAATATGTAAGTCAACATGGCAAAATATTAATAATTGTTAAATATAAGTAGCTGGTATATGGTGATTCATTATATCATCCTCTATGTATTCCTATATGGTTTCTTTTCTTCATAATAAAAAAAGGTTTTAAAACACCCCTATCTCTCTCCAACCCTATTTGATCTCACAGAATGACTTTCCCAGATGTCTTATTGCTGAAAACAAAATCCTCAAATGAAGGATGATCCATCAATCCATGGATGACTCTCATTTCCTCACATCCAGCTGCTTTCCCAGGTGGAGGTAGTGGTAAAGAACCTGCCTACCCATGCAGGAAACTTAAGAGAGGTGGGTTCCATCCCTGGGTTGGGAAGATCCCCTGGAGAAGAGAATGGCTACCCACTCCAGTATTCTTGCCTGGAGAATCCCATGGACGGAGGAGCCTGGTGGGCTACAGTCCACAGGGTCGCAAAGAGTCGGACACGACTGAGCAACTAACACTTTCACACTTTGACTTTCGCAAGGTTTATTAGGCATTATTATGGACCAGGCGCTGACATCCCCCAAGGGCCAAGTGCAGCCTGGCTGTCTGGAGGGAGAGCGAATGCTCAGGACCGGAAGCCTGCGGCCACTGGCTCCATCAGCTCCTTCTCACTCTGCGATCTCCCTTTCCTCTTACCTCCTGGACCCACCACCTCCCACCTTCTCTCACCCTCCTGCGACAGCCACGCTGGCCTCTGTCCTTCCTGGAATACACAAGGCAAGCTCCCCTAAGAGCAGAGCTGGGCTTTCACCATTCCCTGCTTTTCGTTCTTTTGCCAGATTTCTGCATGGCTCACCCTCTCTTCTCCAAGTCATCAGACATCACCTCTGCCACCCTGTTTGAACTTGCGTCCTCGGCCCTTCCGACCCCCTTTCCTTTTTCCTCAGCACTTTCCACCACGCTGGATACTTGGCTTTGCTGATTATATTTATTCAACTTCCTCCCCCAGCTAGAAAGCAAGCTTCATGAGCCCAGGCACTTGGCTGTTATTTTCACTGCTATATCCTGACCGACAATGCCTGGGGTATAACAGGTACTCAATATGTGTTTGATGAATGAATCCTTACGACTGTGTTATAAGGCGGGTTCCATTCGCCCTCATTTCATAGGTCTGGAGAGGAGAAGTGACTTGCCTAAGATGATACAGCAAACTCATGGTAGTACAGGTTTATAGGAGCTTCCCACTCCCTCAGGAAGTCAGACAGACTGAAGCTTGAATTTTGGCTCTGCCCTGCCTGACCACATCTCTGCATGCTAGGTCACCGCACTTGTGTCTGACTCTGCGACCTGATGGACTGTAGCCCACCAGACTCCTCTGTCCATGGGACTCTCCGGGCAAAAGACCGGAGTGGGTTGCATTCCCTCCTCCAGGGGATCTTCCTGGCCCAGGGATTGAACCTGCATCTCTTATGTCTCCTGCGCTGGCAGTTGGGTTCTTCACCACTAGAGCCACTGGGAAGGCTGGCCAAGTCTGCTGCTCCCGGCTAAGTCTCTCTCTTCTCAGACTCCCATCGGCCTCGTCCCTACTTATATGGGAGGACTGGACGAGGTGATACAACAGGGAGCACGGCCCCTAGGAGGCCCTCCGGGAGCCGGAAGCTCCGCCCCCTCCCCCGGGGCCCTGGGCGCACCTTGACCTGAGCGTAAAAGCTGCCCAGGCTGCAGCACACGCGGCACTCGAGCATGGCGTCGTCGTTGTTGTGGGCATAGCGCAGGGCCTTCTCGAAGCTCTCCAGGGCCTTCTGGAAGAGGCTGAGGCCCAGGAAGGCGTTGCCCATGCTCAGGCTGACCTGGCCTCCGAGCTGGGCAGCTGCCCTGGTGCCGGGCAGGCCGAGGCAGGTCTTGCAGTAGGAGATGGTCTTGTGGAACTCACACAGCTTCTCGTTGCTGCGCGCCAGGTTCAGGTAGCTCTCCAGGAGGAAGTTGGCGTCCTCCAGCTCCCGGGCGGTGTCAATCTGGACCACAGCAAACTGCCCGCCGTGGAGGAGGGCCGGGGCGCTCAGCCTCTGCCCCTCCAAGGCCCCCCCACCCCCCAGCCCAGAGCCTCAGACCCAGAGCACCCACCCCTAGCCTCAGATATGTGCTGGGCTCCCCAGCCAGACTGGAAGCTGCACCCGGGAGCCTTCACCTCCCAAACCCAGACCCTCTGCTTTCAACTTCCATCCCGAACCTGGTCTGCAGTCTCCACCACCCGCCCAGCCCCCCAGCCTCGAACCTGGAGCCAGTGCACCGCCCCCCCTCCAGGCTTAGACAGAACCCCATAGGAAAGGACTGGAACCTTGACTCTGAGACCTGGCCTCGAGTGCTTCAAACCCCGAGGCTGAGAACCTCAGACACCAAAGCTCAAGGCCACAGGCCCAAATCCAAAGCCAAGACAGAGCATCCAAGACCCAGGGCCTGAGATGCAGAGGATTCAGAGCCTCAGACCTCGGCCACCAGCATGGGGGGTACGGGCGAGTCTGAGGAGGCGGGCAGGGGCCTGGGAAGCCTGGGAGAAGCCCCGCCGGGCCCCACCTGCCCAGCCTGGCCACGCACGCTCCCACCTTGAGCATCTCCTTGTAGCGGCCCATCTCCGAGTGGGCCGTGACGAGGCAGCCCAGCACGCGGAAGCGCCCCACGAGGTCTGAACTCTTCTCCAGCACCTTCGTCCACACCTGCAGCGCCTTCTCCGTGCGGTTAGATTGGTACAGCTGGAGCCCCTTCTCGATCTGCTGCTTCGTCTGGTCCTGCCCCATCCTCCCAGAGACCCCTGGTGGCCCCGCGCCTCTAGGCTCTCATGGGACACCACCCCCACCCCCGGTGCCCGCCGCCCACCCAGCCCCGAGCAGGCGCAGGGCCTGAATGGAGAGCGGGCGCCACCCTGGGAACAAAGCCGGTCCGGCCCCTGTGCGCAGCTGTCCCTGCCAGTTGGGGCCACGTGGCCACCAAGGAATGTCAGCCACAAGGTCACGCGGGCCCCTGCCGCACCCGCCCCCAAGCTGGGAGGAAGGTGCCCGCCCCCTCCTGCCCTTGGGCACCCCCCTCGGGCATCTCTTTAGCACCTCTGACCTGGACCCAAGCCCCCCGGGCAGGGCAGGCTCTCCCTGCAGCCTGAGAGGTGGAGGAAGTAGGGGTGAAGCTGGGCACATGGGTGGCAGGGAGGCTGGAGCGGGTGCCCAGCTCTGAGCCCTCTTCTGAATCTCCGCCATCCCCAGAGCCACCCTCCCTGGCTCTGCTTCTGTGAGGGACTGGCCACACACCTGCGCACAGGCCCACCCCATCCCAATGAGCCCTAACCCACAGCCCAGCCCAGCCAGCAAGTTGCTCCCCTCTCTGGGCCTCAGTTTCCTCATCTGTAAAATGGAACTGTCATAGGCCAATAAATCCTCACCTATTGATGTTCTATGAGCCGCACAGTGCGATGGGTAATAGCGTGGACCCTGGACCAGGCTGCCAACTTTCAAATGCCGACTTTGCCATTTACTAGTTCTATGGGCAGCGCGCCTTTGGGTGGAGAGGAATGGTTCCCACTTCACCAGGCTGTTGGAACTATACGCCTTAGTAGCTGGCTGGGACTTGGAACAGTGCCTGACACATGGGAAACACCACGTGACAACAAGCAAGAGGTTATCTCAAGCTGCGTTCATCTGCTCCACGGCAAAGTGTCCACAAGGAACAGAAATTGGTTTTTGAAGGTTTAAAAAATATCCAGCTCCAGGGATGCACAGTTTTGAGCCTTAGTCCACTGTGGCTCTCTTTGCCTGGCAAAGCAATAAAGCTATTCTTTTCTACTTCACCTCAAAAAAATAAAAACAACAAACAAACAAAAAATATAAATTTCCAATCCCAGTCTGAAAGAGTCCCTTATAATGAGCTTGAATGCCAGACACAATGGAGAAGGGCAAGGTCTTACAGAGGGAGCAGGCAGACCCGTGAAGGCTCCCAGGGTTGAGAGAGGGCTCTGCCAAAATTACCAGCTCTTCTCACTGCATGGTTCTCTCCCCCCTCTGCAAACCAGGCTCCTTCCTGCTCCAGGGCAAAGTTGTCCTTTCAGAGCAGACAGTGGCTTTGAGCATACAAGCATCCCTCATTTTATCGCAGTTCCCAGATGCTTGTCTTTTACAAATGGGAAGTTTGCGGCAACCCAGTATCGAACAAGTCTGTCAGCACCATTTTTCCAAGAGCTCACTTCATGTCTATGTGTTGCATTTTGGCAGTTCCCATAGTATTTGGAGCTCTTTCATTATTACGTTTCTTATGGTGATGTGTGATCAGTGCTCTTGGCTTAACATCTTTTTTTTTTGTTTCGTTTTATATTGTTAAGCTTTTGGCCATATCGCGTGCAGGACACATGGGATCTTAGTTCCCCGACCGGAGACTGAGCCTGAGTCCACTGCGTTAGGAGCACAGAGTCTTAACCACTGGACCACCAGTGATGTCCTGTATCAGTGATCTTTGATGCTACTACTATGTCTCACTGAAGGCTCAGACTATGGTTAGCATTTTCAGCAATAAAGTATTTTTCGGTTTAGGTCTGAACATTGTTTTTGTAGACATGATGCTATTGCACACTTAATAGACTACAATATAGCATAGACATAACTTTTGTATGCACTGGGAAACCAAAATATTCCTGTGACGTTTTATGGTGATGTTTGTTTTATTGTGGTGGTCTGGAACCAGACCCGCAGTATCTCTGAGGCGTGCCTGTATGCACAAAGTTGAGCACTGATCTAGCCCTAACACCAGAAGATTTTCATCACCCTGGAAAGAAGCCCTGTGCTCATTCAGTCGAGTTAGGCACTGCTGCCCGTGCCCTCGTTCACATGGGATGTTGACTGCAGGCCTCAGAATGTGACCTATTTGGAGACACCATCTTTTCCTGGCTTGTGTCATTCCCTGACCAGGGATCAAACCCGGGCCCTCAGGAGCGAGAGCTCAGAGTTCTAATCACAGGGCTGCCAGGAATTCATCTTTAAAGAGGTAAAACGAGGTCACTAGAGAGGGCCCTGATCCCGTGTGACCAGCATCACAAGAAGAGATTAGGACATAGACAGAGAGAGGGAGAAAGAGGGCCGTTGACAAGCCAAGCAGAGGGACCTCGGAACGAAACTAACCCTTTTAACACGTGATCTCTGACTTCTGCCCTCCAGGTCTCTGAGAAAACACATTTCCGCTGTTTAAGCACCCCCCGCCCGCGGCACAGTGTCATGGCAGCCGGAGCAAACGGACGCACCCCGCAACGGGCTCGTCTGCCCTGGCCATGCTCATCTGTCATGTAAACGGACGCGTACAACGTGCGGCCCATCAAGCCATGTAAGTGGCCCCTTGTGACCGGCTCCGTTCAGCATCAGGTTTCCAGTGTTGTAGCGGGAATCGTCCTTCATTCCTTTTTATGGCTGACTAGTATTCTAGGGCTTCCCTGTGGCTCAGCTGGTAAAGAATCCGCCTGCAATGCGGGAGACCCGGCTTCGATCCCTGGGTTGGGAAGATTCCCCTGGAGAAGGGAAAGGCTACCCCCTCCAGTATTCTGGCCTGGAGGATTCCATGGACTATAAAGTCCACGGGGTCGCAAAGAGTCGGACACGACTGAGCACATTTCACTTTCAATATTCATTGTACATTTATACCATTTCGTTCATCCATTCGTTAGTTAATGCACATTGGGTGGTTTCCCTTTCTGATTACGAATAATGATGCTATAAACATCCATGCACAAATTTTCATGTGGACAAGTTTTCATCTCTCAAGTACATAGGAGTGGAATTGCTGCGTCATAGGTTCTGCTGCTGTGTTCAACTTGAGAGGAACCTGATTGCCCCAGGGCCTTTGCCCCTCATGATCCCTTTCCTCTTCCCTACTTCAAAGTTCTGCCCAGTTAAGTCCCAGTTGGGATGGATCAGCTTATGATACTCACAGAGAATTAAATTCCATTCTGATATAAGATGCATCTCTATAATTTCACATTCATTGATGAGGGTATCGGCTTAGTGTCTGCTTCCCCCTCTTAAATGTGTGGGCAGGAACTTTATCTCGCTTTTCACTGACCTGTCTCCAGAGCAAAACCTGGCATGCAGTGGCCACTCTAAATTCTAAAATTAAGCTTTCATTCCTCCCTGTTTTTTCCCACTCATTCATTTAACGTATTTTGAGTAGCTGCCCCAGGCTTACAGCTAACCTGCCGCGTCTCCTTCATCCTGGGGAAACTGAGCGGTGGCAGAAATCACCACCTCCTGTTCGCTGCAAGCAAAATGGGTCCAGAGTGGTGCAGTCTGGGCCTGGGGCGGGGAGGTCCATGCCCCAGGGTCATACAGCGAGGGGACAGAGGAATAGGCCCTTGGGACTAGACAGACATGGGAACGTCCCAGGGAAAGTGCTCTTTTTAAATTTAAATTCAATTTTTAAATTTATTTAACTGCGCAGTTGTGTCTTGAATCCTTGTGACCCCACCGACATTAGCCCACCAGGCTCCTCTATCCACTGGAATTCTCCAGGTAAGAATTCTGGAATGGGGTAGCCATTCCCTTCTCCTGGGGATCTTCCCAACCCAGGGATCAAACGTGGGTCTCCCACATTGCAGGCAGATTCTTTACCATCTGAGCCACCAGGGAAGCCCATTTAATTAATTAGTTAAGCTTATCTTGGGCTGTGCTGGGTCTTGGTTACTGCGCTCAGGCTTTCTCTAGTTTCGGTGGGGGCTACTCTTCACTGCGGTGGGCGGGCTTCTCCAGCCGTGCCTTCTCCTGTTGCAGAGCGTGGGCTCTAGGTGCACAGGCTTAGTTGCTCCGAGGCATGTGGGACCTCCCTGGAGCAGGAAGATGCAGGTGTCCCCTGCCCTGGCAGGAAGCTTCTTCGTCGCTGGACCACCGCGGAGGTCCTGGGGGACGTTCTCTCGAACCTGGCGCACAGGAAGCTAGGCCAAGGGGGAGAGCTGGGAGCCTCCTCTCAGCCGGGAAGGTGAGTCCTGGGTTGATCTCCAGAGGGGAAGGAAGCTGGACCCACAAGCCAAGCACTGAAGAGCCAGCAGGTTCTCTCCCATTTGTGGTTGAGATACAGTCCAGCTCCGAGTCCGCCATGAGTCTTTGGTGGGAAGGAGATGGGCACTCTGCCTCAGCATCCCAGAGCAATCTGGAAGCACAACCTTCCAGGTACCTGGGAACTCAAATGATCTCAAAACTCAAAGACCTGACCGAGTTTTCTCAGCCCCCAAGTGAGCCATTTGCTGACCTCTGAACATAGTTAGGTCAGGGTCATGTTCCTTTAGGGCAAGGGGGTGGTCTTTGTACTAGCATCCGCTCAGCCCCTGGCAAAGTGGGAGGAGAACAAAGGAAGGCTAGTAAGTCACACTGCCGAGCTGAGCACTTCTTCCCGCTTACAGATACCTGGGTGGTACCCGAGGGTGAAGTGACCCGCCCAAGGCCACACCTCGACCTCGAGACGGAGCAGGGAGTGCACCCCAAGCAGTGTGACTCCAGGGGTCTTACTCTTGATCATGACACTGTCCCAGGAGAGAGGGAGAAAAGTCAAGGGGAAGTAGTTAGCCATATCCAGGAAGCTTAGTGATTTTCACCAGACACGACCAAGCCCCCTGGGAACATGGTCCAGGCTCTGACCTGGCTGGGCAGGAGAAATGTATACAAAGAAGGCTAAGGCGGGACTTCCTGGTGGTCCAACGTCTAAGACTCTGAGCTCCCAATGCAGGGGGACCGAGTTCAATCCCTGGTTGGGAACTAGATCCTACATGTCGCAACTGAAGATCCCGCATGCCACAATGAATATCAAAGATCCTCTGTTCAGCAACTAAGACCCGGCACAGCCAAATAAATAAAAATACGTATTTTTAAAAATTGCTCTTCAAAAAAAAGCTAAGGAGAGGGTGAATGGAATCAAGCCTTACTCACAAAGCCCAGCAACGAAGGCTGACCAAAGGTCC